AGTGGCACCGTAAGGGATCCGAGTGGACTTGGGAGCCAGAGTCCGAGATGAGGGAGCACTACCCAGATCTTTTCGCATCATCCGACTTTGGGGACGAAGTCTAGATCAAGTGGGGGAGAGTTTTAACGCCCTGAACCAAGCAGGTATATTTTGAAACCCTCCTTCTTTTGATTATTGTCTTTTATAGCCCACTGAGAAGCGATGTTAAGGCCCGGGAAGTTTAGGGACCTAAATTTGAAACTTTAGGCCAAAGGGGGTAGGGTATGCTACGCGTACATAAGAGTACACTGGGCGTACTAGGCGTGCCCTAGTACGCTGGGCGTAAGCCTATGTACGTTGGGCATACTCGCGTTAGCTAAAAACCCTAATATTCGGAGTTGGGACTATATAAACACCCTTATGGTTCATTCTTTACCCTCACCTCAGCCTCCATACCTCAGAGAACGCCCCAAAACCCTAGTTTGTGTGTGAAGAGTGAGTTAGTATGCATCTTGAGCTTTGTAGAGTGGAGTTATTGCACCAAGAAGCTAGAGGAGGAAAGCACGACCTTGGATCTGAAGTTGGGTTACACCATTAGAACTCCAGAAGGTAAGAAGATTGAACCTTTATGCTTTTTTACCTTAGATCTATACTTTTTAGCTTTATTAAGGTCTTTTGGTCCCTAGATTTCCTAAGTTGATGCATGTGAAGTTATAGATGAAATAAGTTGTCCTTCCAGATGTTCTGAGAAGCGTTGAGTGATAAAAATCAGTCCTTTTTAGCTAAACTTGATCCATGCATGTGATAAGAAGGTTTTAATGGATTAAGACTATGAGTTAAGAATTTTTTGGACGTCCAATGTGATAAAGTCCGAAACTTTATGATTCTATGGAATATTTGGTCGATGGATTTGGAATATGGGTTCAAGAGCTCAACCCATTAAGCACTTAATAAGACTTTGATAAACCTGCATGTATGCCCCGCGTAATATATGTACGCTCAGCGTACGTGGTCAACCGTCCCGTTGATGGTCAACGATGATCTACGCTACGCCTAGTGTAACTCGGAGGTACGCCCCGCGTACGCTCCCTGTTGGACTTTTAGCTTGTGGGTTTTATGCTTTGCGCCGGTTATGGGTCAATTGGATTAACCCCTTAATGGGCTATGGGTGCAATGTTGTTGGGCCAGGTTAGACTTGTAGGTTTCGTGTAGGCCTAATAGAGTGATGGGCCCAGTTTAATAAATTGGGCCAGTAATAGATTTGGACAATTTGGGTCTAGTTATAATTTGTATTCTTTTATCTCTCAGTCGAGGGCGTCGGGCATAGCAGTTGAAGACTCTCAGTTCAGTTCTGCACTATTGCTAGGTGAGTTCTCCTCACTATACCAACAGGGTCTACGACACTAGGTCAGTCCTTTGGGATTTATTCCCGGTGTTAGTATGTGTTCCATATTCATGATCAGCTGGATTGGTATCTTGATGGATAGAATGCTACTATGTTAGTAGTTAGTATGATATGTGTTTATTGTATGATTATGTTCTATTTATATGTCGACATATATGGATGTGTTAGGTTGAGGCGGTGTCCTACTTTGTGCGGTTGAGGCCAACATACCCGGAGCGATCCAGATAGGCTGTAGGCCTGTATGAGGCGGTCCAGTCATGCCGAAGGCTCGAGAGCGGTCCAGATAGGTTGTAGGCTCGTAGGAGGCAGTCCAGTCAGGCTGAAGGCTTATTATGCATGCTATTGATTATTATTCTTTTTGTACTAGATGTTAGAGGTTGGTATTTTTGGGGTAACTCACTAAGCCTTCGAGCTTACTTTTTGTCGTTTATTTTTTCAGGTACATCAATTGACCATGGCAAGACGAAGGCGTGACGTACACATCCCTGTTTTTATGATTCTGGATTTCTGGGAACTCTGATATGAAAACATTTTGAAAACAATTAGAACTTGTTGATGTTTGAATAACTTTTAACTGTGTAAGGGTGGTTTTTGGAAGGTTTGAATTTCTTTTAAAATTGTTTGGTTGTTACATAACTACAAAAAGTGAGCAAAAAAAAAAGAGTCTTCTACTGGTAAGGTTGATGGTTCTCATGAAGTGGCCGAAATCGTTACTCATGAATGTGCTAATCCTAAATGCAAAAATATCAAAATTTCGGTTATTCCAAGGTTTATTTTATATAAAAACAATATATGTTTATCATAATTGTGTAATATAATATAATTTTATACTTTATTTAGATTTAAAATACCACTTCGGCTTCAAGACAACAAGGGAACCTTGACTTTAACCTTATTTGATCTAGAAGCAAAGAAGTTGTTTAAATATACAGCTAAAGAGTTGGATGATAAAAACAAGAAGGTATTATTTTATAGTTCTAAATTACTTCTTTATGTTACACAATTATATATTTATACATACAAATTTTCTAACATATTTATTTATATTTTAGCTTGGCATCAATTTGGATTTGTATCCAATGGAGTTGAAAGTTGTGGTGGAAAAAAAGTTGGCAATTATGATTGATATTTCAAGTTACGATGTCACTAATAAAAGTAATATTTATGGGATATCAAGATTAACCGATAATACAGATATAATTGATGAACTGGAAAAAAAAAAAGAATCTTATGCCACAGGTTATTTTCAACAATTATATTTAGTTTTTACCACATTGACCCAACAATATCATTTTGTTTTTGATCTTATGATGCAACCTGCTAATTCTGATTCATTCATGATTAGTTCTTTAGATATTGGTTCCTAAGAAACCAAAGTTGTCAAAGTTATAGTTTTAAATTATAATTCTGAAGTATTATGTTTTAATGTATAACAACTAACTAAATTTTTTTCTAGGATTCATTTTCATAGACATGTGACAATTTAACACCGTGTGCTAGGGACAACTACACTGCAACAAGTCCTACAAAGTTGATTTCTACACCAACTGAGTTGAAAAGAAAACTTTTCTACATGCATAGATCTTGATGAAATGGAGAATTTGTCAACATCTAAGTCTGCTCGATTGTCACCACCAGATGAACAACTAATGCCTCTTTTGGTCCCCAAGAAAGAAAAGCAAATGTATTTTACTTTTACAAACAATCTTAGTTCATGGTTAATTTTGTTTCCGCATCATAGACTCCTAAGTCGTTTACATTTTTAACTTTCTTGGTTTTGAATGGGTTTTGTTTGGGATTTGATGGTTTTTATATTTATTTCTTGAACATACATTGGGTTATTTTTTTCATTCTTATAATGTCGTTTCCTATGTTATTTTTTTTTCGGTACGATTGATTTTATACAACATTGCTTTTATCTCCCAAATGACTATTTTTTATTCAATATTGGATAATATAACATCTTATTTTGACTTTATTTATTCATTCGAAAGTATTCATTAAGGAGTAAACATTTATCTAGGGATTAATACAATAAATAACAATGTACTATCATTTATTTATGTATAGAAAAAAAATAAAAGTATCATCATATTAGAAATCAAATATAAACATTAAGTAATATTAGGTATTTGTAATTAAACACCGCAAAAAAAATGATTTGATGATAACATTGTGTATTTCTAACTGTATTTAACTAAGTTATTTACCAAAAAATCACTTAAACAAATGATAACATTGTGTATTTCTATCGATCAAAATCAGTTAAATAGAAATGACAACATTGCTTTTTATAATTTTTTTTATTTAACTATTTTTTGCTTGCTGATTATAATTGTCAATTTTACAACTTTCTCTTTCTTTTTCATGTTAGATTTTTTTTTTAAATGTGACAGTTTGAACTTACAATAAATAACCAATATGACTGAAAAGGATGGGAGTCCAATAGTACCAATGGTGAAATCTCGATTCCCAAATTGCCCTTAAAGTTCGATTCTGAATTTGTACATAACGTTTCTAAAAAGGTTGTTCAAGTTCATAATTTTGTTTTAAGGTTCTTCTATTTGATAAATTCATGTCTCGAATTCAAGTTCCTATATGTACTTTTATTCGTTGCTGATTATAGCAATATACTTTTTGCCTAAAGAACTTTATTTTTACACTTATATCATGAATTGTTCAATTTGAAACTTAAATATTATACAAAGCCTAAATTGCCCCTCCCACTATCAAGATAGTCTTTAATCAATTAATTGTAGAATTTACATTAACAAACTTATTTACTAATAACTCACTTACACAAATGATAACCTTATCTATTTCTATCAATCAAAATCAATTAAATAGCAATGTACCTGTATCACGATTTGTGGAATTAAAAAAAGTATATGTTTTCTTTTTTAATCTTATAAATTGCCCCTCCCACTATTAATATAGTCTTTAATCAATTAATTGTGGAATTTGACTATGGATGCACTGTATGCTGTTATTGGATTTTTGTAATTTCATAGAAGTCTAATTGTAATGTGTGTTTGTGTTTCAGACAAACCTAAACGTTTTCTTTATCTTCTAACTAAAGAAAATTCCAATTTATGCTCCATGTTAAAGTAAATTTGCATAAATGGTTCCTGTTTCATAATAATTGACAACTAACTTGTATAATTAACTTGTGAATCATTAACAAAAATTTATATACATTTTGTTTAATAATATGTTTTTTTAAAATAAATAGTTTTTTTGATATTTTATTTTATCAATGTTATATAAATATACAATAAATATACTTTTTATATTAGTGTACATAAAAAAAATTAAAAAATATTTAAATGAAATCATATTTCAAAATTTGAACGAATTACACAATATGATAAAAACTAAATATAATTAATCATTATACCCGCCGTCATTCAACTTAAACCTCCCTTATAGCTTGTACATAATCGGGACTGATGTGTTTATGGCGTGCGTTAATGTCTCTTCATCTCCGATTGATCATCCATTTAAACCCTCCCTGTATATGAAAATGCTCATTCTTGCATCTTCATCACCATCCAACGATAACTTCGTATTGGTCATCATATGTGGAAAAAAAATCCGGTGAACAGTGGCAACAAACATGAATGTCGATCCATGGGCAAAGCCTAGCTATCAACTATGGACTGTAAGCAGTGAGCAACCAAAAAACCCACCAATTGTAGAGTATGGCAAAGGAAACGATAAGAGGTTCACCATTAGAGTTGTCCATGGCGGATATTTATAGATTATCCGGATAAAGATTATGAAAAAACAAAAGTTCATTTTATTACTTTTGTCAACATCGATTTTCTTGACATGGAATTGCTTGGTAGTTTTTCTAAAAGTTTGGGTTATACGACCATGGGATACTGGTATCATGTGCCAACTGAACAGCATTGTGGTTTGTCGATGACTCCAATTTTGGATGATGATGCTTTGGGAAATTTCAAAGCAATGGTTAGGGCACATCAATTTCGTGAGATTGAACATTTGTATGTAGAACACAAGCCAGTATATGTGCCAACCAATTTCCCCCACTTCATGATGAACTCACCAGCCAAAAGAGTTGAGAATCTTATTCATGTCTTTGTAACAGAACACCCAATGTCAACAGTTGATGATGGAATAGCATACATCAAACATATGCTAAACATGACCATTCCCAGAGGAAAGATGGAAGATGCAATAGACATGGCCTAGGAGAATGTTATTGCATGGAAAAACTTAGTGTAGGCAGCTGTTATCTCTTTTTTTTTTTTTTTTTTTTTTTGTTGTTGATGAAGTTAGATATTTCATAGTTAAGACATATGTTAATTATGTTTTGTATATTGGGTGGAATAGAACATCATAGTTTTTAAGCACTTCGAAACTCATATTTTGTTTAATAAAATATATGATGTGTTTATATATTTTATGTTAATGCTCATGTAACTTTACAGGTTTATTATTTTTGGAGCATAGTAAGTTGGGAACTATGGATATTATATCACCAATAAAGATCTTATACATTGTTGTGTGTTGCTGATTTCATGAAATGGTAGAATTAAACATAATATTAATTATATATAACTTTCAGAATCTAAAAAAGTTAACCAAATTTGGCGTTCTTTTATATTTCACAGGTTGGACATAAAAATCCATGACCTCACAATTCAAGATAACGAGCCTCACTGTTTTCTCAAATGTCCAAGATGACATGCTAATAACAAAAGACGAGATTTTGGATCTATACAATCAATTCTAAAACTCAAGTACGATATGATATATCAAAATATATACACATTGTATATTTATTGATTGTTTTCTTATAAAATAAGGAGATCGATAAGGTCATGTGAAGATCAAATGCATCCCATTTTGACTAACTGATGGTGCTTTTACTCACCATCATGACAACTGCTAAAATGTCCAGTCGTTAATGCGTGCACTGAAAGATGGAACTGTGGTGACTAACTATTTTGCAGCTTTTAGCGGTTGAACTTTTAGTAATATTCATATTTTTGTTGCATCATTTCTTTCTGGATTTGATCATTTAACTTTAGTTGAACGTTTTGATGGAATATATGGCCATGTGTTTACGTGGTTAGTAAAGGTTTATTTCCGATTTTCTTATCTTTGGTATATAGTTTACCATATGTGGCAATGTGTTTACAACTTTCTCTTTCATTTTCATGTTGGATTTTTTTATAAATGTCAAAGTTTGAACTTACAATAACCAATATGGCTGAAAAGGATGCGAGTCCAATAGTCCAATAGCATCATTTCTTTATGCCTAAAGAACTTTATTTTTACACTTATATCACAGATTGTTCAATTTGAAACATACATATTATACAATGCCTAAATCGCCCCTCCCACTATCAAAATTGTCTTTAATCAATCAATTGTAGAATTTATATTATCTTTGTATTTAACTAACTTATTTACTAATAACTCACTTAAACAAATGATAACATTGTCTATTTCTATCAACAAAAATCAGTTAAATAGCAATGTACCTGTGTCACGATTTTTGGAATTAAAAAAAGTATATGTTTTCTTTTTTAATCTTATAAAATACCTAAAATGCCCCTCCCATTATTAAGATAGTCTTTAATCAATTAATTATGGAATTTGACTATGGATGCATGTATGCTGTTTTCATATTCTGGACAATTAATGGCGTTATACAAAAGATTAATATAACACGTTTATATTTAATTGAGTTAATTAGTTAATTTGTTAATATTATATGTTCACATCCTCACAGTGAAGAAGAAATAGGAAAAAAAAACATTCCTTTTTTTTATTAATTTCACCGAGATTCATGGATGATTAACAACAATTCGTTTTAATAGTTTCAAAATTCAAAACAAATTATTGTTCCCTCTATAGAATTTCAAAATCAAAAGTTCAAACCTAAATTAAAAGATTATAAAACCCTAACCTTATTTTAAGTCCTTTCCCCTAGATCGTCTTTGCTTTGCCGATAGTAGCTGCATTTTTTCGTTCTTGATTCATGTTGTCCTCTCCAATTGACGATTATAGGTAACCAAATGCTTACTTATGAAAAATCAAAACTTCCATTTAATACTGAAGTCGATTTGTAATACACCTTCAGCTCCGGTCCCCATTTTTCTGACCTTAACACGTCTTTGACCTTCTGACTTTGAAAGATTGACACAACAAACGAATAAGCTTTAACACAAATATTTGTTTTCATTCTTCATTTCTATCTATACATAAAAGTCTGATTGCAATGTGTGTTTGTGTTTCAGACAAATCTAAACGTTTGCTTTATCTTCTAACTAAAGAAAATTCCAATTTATGCTCCATGTTAAAGTAAATTTGCGTAAATGGTCCCTGATACGTTTTTTTAATATAAATAGTATTTGTTGATATTTTATTTTATCAATGTTATATAAATATACAATAAATATTCTTTTTATATTAGGGTACATAAAAAAAAATAAAAAATATATAATTGAAATGATATTTCAAAATTTGACCGACTTACACAATATGATAAAACAAATTGCAATTATATGTCAAATATTATAATAATATTAGCTTATAGTTATTTTGCTTTAATTTAATCAAACTCTTTACTGCATATCATAATATTTTATAAAGTAATTGTTGTTATTTCTTCATATTGCAGATATATCATGAAGTCGTTTAATTCTAAAAAGAGTAGAAAATTAAATAATTTTTATTTAAATAATAGAAATAACATTAATTTGTCTACTACATCAAGCCGACAAACTTTAACCGCTACAAATGCTATTGATTCAGCTTACAATGATATGTTTTTTCTTTAACATTTTTTTATATTTTTGTTACGGAATTTTTAGGCTCTAAATATATCTTTTAATAACATAAAAATATTTCATAAATTATTTTCATATTATATAAATACAAACTTTTACAAATTCTATATATTTTCAATATATATTGTTAAATTCATATTTAAATAAATATATTATCTTTCTGAAGCAATTTCATAATCAAATAATAACATGTATTATTCTAACAATAATGTGTATTAGCATAATAAGAAAAACCAAAAAAACTACATACTTCATCGACCACGGAAGATTCATCATCTGTAACATTTCTTAACAACGGTTACAAAAGTACATTTCTTTCTTCACTATTATTATTAGTCATTATATATTATTATGAAAAATTTAATGTTAACCAAATTTCAATCATTTATTAGTTTGAGTTTTATATCGAACACAATTATTACACTCATATACATTTTATATCATATACTTTTTATTCGTTATACAGGAATAAATGATAATATGTACTACTTGCAAGCAAGAGAGAAAAGAAGATAGAGAAAATTATATTTGGATAATAAGAGATCAAACAAAAAGAGTACAAAATCTGGTGTTCAAAATGGATGTGCACCACATGTCTTAACAAACATGGATAATTGTAATTTTTTTATTTTATTTTATTTTTAATTTTTACTATTCATTTACCTATATAAAAATACATACATTATCATCATTTTATATTATTTCCCTGTACCAATATAAAATTCACATGCTAATTTTATTTTATAATACATGTCTTCAATCCCAATAACAATTTTTTTTACAGATCAATCAAAAAACGTTGTTCATGAAAAAGAAAATGTTTGTTCCTATGAATCACATGGACACCAAAATATACCCTTACAATCTTCTTCTTTATATATAAATGTTAGAACTCTATTATCTAACATTTCAAATGGTAATAATATTGCTTTTAAAAATTTTCTTTCAACCATTTTCTAATATATTTATAGACAAAACTGCAAAAATGGTCCTTGTGGTACGCATTTTTTTTGGGTTTTAGTCCAAACCCCGACTTTTTTGGATTCGTGGTCCTTTTGGCCATGTTTGTACGTGAATTTAGTCCCTTGTAAAATTAAAATGACTTTAATGCCCTTCTGATATATTTTTTATTGTTCTTTCTATTTAATTTAAATGAAAAAGAAAATAAATAATTAATTTGGGCCCACATCTCTCTCTCTCTCTCTCTCTCTAATAAACCAATACAATCACAATGAGAAGGGGGGTCTCTTCCTCTTCATCTTCATCTGGTGGAAGGAGCAGCAAGAATACGATGGACGAAAGTTGAGAAGAACAAGGCCACGATCAACAGGTACTGCTCATGGTTAAATATATCACGAATAAGGGAGGAGGAAGGGTGTCGGCACTGTTGGGCCGCTCCGACGGCCTACTTCATCTTCTGGTCCAATCAGCTGCAGCACAGGAAGGAAAAGAGGATTGATCGGGAATCAAACCAATAGCGACTGCCGGTGGTCCTGAGGAGTTCAATCGAGCAATAAGGGTGAAAATCGAGACTTGTGGTGGTTGTATTTGATCTGTCAGTCAAACGAAAGGGAATCGGTCTTCGATTCCCATTTGATCATAGACGAAAAATTTACCGAAAGCAATAACAGTCTTCTTTCTTTCTTCTTTTCCTGATTCGTTATGAAGCACGAAGGAAGAGTCGATTTTTCCGGCGATTGAAGTCTTCAATCGGGGTTGTGGGGGTTGTGAAGGGTAGCAACAGTCGGAGAAGGTGCTTGTGGTGGTGTTTCTCGGCATAAGGAGAAGGGGAAGGGGATATGGAGGTGGCGGCAGTGGGGAACCGGGAAAACATCACCGATGATTCTACTTCTTGATAGGGGAACGGGATGATAGTCGTTGAGAGGGTTGTGAATGAGTATCAGGACAGTACAACAATACTTTCGAGGGTGTTTGACAACGGGTACTCGGTGGAAATAGGCAGAGAAGGTTAGGACTGCTACTACCGACGAAGAATCACCAGTCCTTTCCTTCTTCTTCACTGGTTTTACAATGAGAGTGGGTGTTTTGGGTGATGGATCATCAGATATATATATATATATATATATATATATATATATATATATAGAGAGAGAGAGAGAGAGAGAGAGAAAGAAAGAGAGAGAGCCATTTTTATATTTAATAATAATAATAATTTTATAAAGTGAAAGAAAAATGAAAACTAAATTCATTAAGGGTATAATAGTCTTTTTAGTTTGGACAGGGACCAAAATTGCATGTAAACCAGTCCAAAAGGACCACCAATCCAAAAAAGTCGAGGTTTGGACTAAAATGCCAAAAAAATGCATACCACAGGGACCATTTTTGCAATTTTGTCATATTTATATATCATCACTATTTTTTCAGCTAATA